AAGAAGTGGGAGCTTGGTGGTTGAGCATTGTTGGAGTTGGAGCTTCAAGATCCTGGGATATCTTCTTCATTGCAAGCTTTTGGAGGTAAAAAAGTTCTTACATTAATGGTTCCTTGAGGTAAAAAAGCTTTTGGAGCTTCAAGATCCTGGGATATCTTCTTCATGGTCAAAATGGTCATTTTGTGTGTCTATATATATATATATATATATATATATATATATATATATATATATATATGTATATCTATATATATATATATATATATATATATATACACACACACACACACAAAATAATTATGAAATCAAAAGATATAATTATCAAATATAAAATTAAAGGGGTTTATATTGTGATAGTTATAGGAAACATAAACAATAAAAGATAAACACCTAGGGTTGATGCGTTAGTGAGTTGTTAATATTCATCCAATATCCTTGATTAAATTCGGCTTCCCGGTACCTATAATCGTTAACCTTGCTAGAGCTAGAAAAATATGTATAGATCTATACAGGGATTGACACCCCCACTTTGGATTGCTAGCTACAATCTCAGCAGAATAACTTTCTTATCAATCACTATTCGACGTCCGATGAAGCGTCATGGTGGGCCAATTATTAGTCAAACAACGTCGATTATGGGGGCTTATGGTAATACATTACAAACACCTTAGAGATCTGACTACTATTAGGGACACCTTAAAATGGTAGATAAAATTGATGTGTGCAAATGGTTACACCTAATTTAAAATTTATAACCTAACTACCTTAACTAACTACTTGCACCTAGGCAGTGTACCTAGTCAGACTATAGTATAGCTTTGGGTAAGTCGGGTGTCGATCTCAGGGAACGGTATTGACTAATTAATCTACTTACTATTAAACTAACCTAATTATCAACATAGGAAAGGGTTTTATCTAATTTTGCAAGATTAGACTAACTTAACTCAAATTCAATCAATAATTAAAAACACTCTTGTTTAGTTCGAATCCACTTCTTCTTTATGGTTAGCTAACAATTATGGATTATCAAGTTGGTTATTATTGTATTAGTAATTTAAGTATAAAACTTACCAATATTCAACTAATTCATGTAAAACTATGTATGGTCACACACAATCAAACACATAACCAGTTATGATTATGAATATGCTATGTAAGATTATGCAAACACAATTATGGTCATAATTTATGTTCTCTAGCACAGCTAACTTTAATTACTTTAATTACTATCTAAGATTGGTCAATCCTAGCTCTAGCAATTCAATGTTTACTAAATCACTAGGTTTCAAGTTCATGTAATCTAATTGTCACTAAGCTACACAGAACATGAATTTAAGCAACTAAAGAAACAAATATTAGCATGCTAGGTAATGATAATCAACACAAGCAAACTACCAACTTAACAAATCCATAGTAAATTAAACTAAACCACAAGTCAGAAGCTTCATCTAGCTAAACAAGAGTAGCTAGATTCAGCTGCTCATAGCAACATATAAACAAACACAAATCATAATAGAAGTCATAATGAATGTACCAAACAATTAAACTATTGATGTACTCTTCTCTTCCTTGGTGGTAAAAAACCCTATTCCAGCACTTCTTTCCTTCTGAATTTCGTTTCCAGGAATCCTCCAAGGCAACCAAAAGTCCCCAAAATCGTAATGATCAAGCGTTTATATACTTTTCCCGAAAGTCGTGATTCACGTCGTGACAGGAAGCTTCACGACGTGGCCTAAGAGATATCCTTATCGGGCACGGATTCTTACTCCGCACATATTTATCTTCTGGAAGATTCAAGACCACGTCGTGATCATGAGGTTCACGTCGTGATTAGAGTTAATCCGTGGATTTCTTATTCTTTCATTCTCCAAGTCTCCAAAGTTCCAAGTATTGTCAATTCTGGTCCCTTTATTCGAAAATGCTTTAATTTGACTGCAAATAACAATTTATCTTTATAAGTACCATTATTCTATATAAATAACCAAAATATAAATAAATATTGCCTAAAAATATGTATAAATATGACAATATCAAAAATACGTTAGGGTTGTTAGATATTTTACAAAGATAGAAAATTAGTATTAATGAAATATCATAAAAGATAATAATATATGATGGTTAGGTATCCTAAAAAGATAGTAAGCTGAAAGGTTTTTCTAAAAAGAAAAATGATTCTTAAATTAAAACAACCAAATAAATGCTGAAAACTATAAAAACGTGTGTACTCACCAACATTATGATGACGTTTTCAAAATACATGTATTCTTAGGAAGATGAATTGGATGATAGTTGTGTCGAGAAGGAGAAGGTCTTCGAGGAAGCTTGCTAGAGTTTAGTTCCATCCGTTTATCGTTTCTAGTAATGTTTAGGTTGTGTGCTTGACTTTTGAACAATGTAATCCCAAAATAATTTATAATAAATAAAAGTATCGTTTGTAATATACTTTTTTGTTATGTTCTATATATATTTGTATGTCTCGATCCTATTTACCCACGTTCACACCACCCGGCGTTTCGCCGCCGGCCGGAGGTGTGACAGGAACCGTAAGGATTGTCCGTGTCAAATTTTGTATGTTGGGCTCAGAAGGTGAATTTCACAATATACCACATTTCACTATATACACAAGACCATTTTTGTAATTTACTCTATAATAAATAAATTTGTAAATTGATAATTTATGGAGTTAACTCTATAATAAATCCATATGTTTTAAAATAATCGTATTATCACTTAAATATTTAAAACAGAAGTTGATTTATCTATAATATAAATCCATATGTTTTAAAATGAATTTTATCATTTTTGGTTTCTATAGCATGTCATAGAATACATTTTAAATATTAATCAAGATATTTACAATATGATTGTTATATTTATTTTGGAGAGATGAGAATAGATTATAGAAGGTAAAAAGCGATGACTAGAATTACAGATACATTACTTCCTGTAAATAAATTAATATTTCAAATTACACTTATATTGTTGTTTATTATTTGAGTCGTATCACATATGCATCGATTTCACATATAACAAATATATAATTAAGAAAAACATATGGTAAAGATAAGTTCTTTTTATTTGTGCTTCCAAAATTAATAATCGCATTGAACCATCAAAGTCTATTGCTTTTTGTGGTTGACCACAAAAGTGTAACACATTATGTTACTTAGAAATAATAAAGAAAGAAGATGGAGACCAATTGAAATCTTGTCTTTTTAAACCCTTTAAGAGGCAACTTGGCATTATTTGGGGCATAAGTTATGCCCGACCCGAAACACCAATAAGAATAAATAGTTTTATTTTTTTATAAATAAAAGCGAGGCTAGCTCCTGTCTTGGTTGGGACAGCTAGCTTATTGGTCCACTGCCTCCCCAGCTAAGCAAGAACGCAAGAAAGCCTTCTCGCAAATTGACAAAATGAGAGGGATTTCAGGCAATTAGCATATAAGAATTCTTGCCCTAGAAGATCGCATTTCTGACTTGAGCACCGTCTTTAAGCATTTCAGGCTTTACCTTATTCTGATTGTTCAGAGGGCGATCGCGGGGTCACTGAATGAAGTCCTCCGTTTCTTTCGGAGATGCTGACCCGCGCGAGGCAGAGATGACTAAGTGACATATGGAATATGACGACGACAACAGCATGTCGTAGAAGGAAGCAAGGGTCCCAATTCTCCTGCAGTTTCAGAAGTTGGCTTCCTTTACCGAGGAAAGATTTAGCCCTATTTATTTATAAGAGGAAAGCTCTCAGGTAGGCCTTACGGAGGTGTTAGGTGGAGGCGTTGATGCTGTACGTGTTGTTGTCGATGATAGTAAGGTGTTGTTGCTTTCTTAGAATCAGTAGCTCAGCCTGCCAAGAAGAAAAATATTACCTCAATCGATTCATACCAAATTGTTTTTAAACATATTCCGAAAAGGTAAATCAGATATTTTAGATATGTTAGGATTAGACTTTGATCCTGGATACAGGATTAGACTCTGATCCTGATCTTTTTATTTTATCCTAATAAAACAACTTAAGATGTTGTAAACACTTTTATTATCTTATGATAAACTTTTACCTTTATTGACTTGTTTTCTTTTCAAATAGTTTATATTTTACAAGTTTATATCCATGAGTAATCAAATATAATTTAGAACAACTTGTTTTTATATACACACATGTTGAAATTGTGATCTCTAAGTCATACAAACACACCATCCGTTAACAATTATCATCATTTTGGTGGTAGCAACTTGCAAAAGCAACCAAAGATATTGTAGAAATTGATAGGATATTGTGGTCCAAACACAAGTGGATCAAGCAAAAGGATTAGAACGCGTCTCAATTTAATTTTTAAGCCAATGTCTTGTTGAATTTGAATTGAATCTTTTTGTTTTGTAAAAAATTGAAACCGATGTTATTGACTTTCATTGTCAATGAAACTTTTTCAGTTTTACCTTATCCTAAATAATCAAAAGTGTTTTTACTTTTTAACATTCATTATTTTGTTTATTTCTTTCTCTATTGTGTTTTCCATTTTTATGTTATCAAGACAATAACAAATCTACCAAATTATAACATTGTACTTTAGATTTATTTTTATTATTAGATTGTAGTTTGACAAATCTTTTCAATTATAAAGTTTGTATTTTAGATAGCATTGCTATTACATCCAAATAGAACACTTTTTAATAAAAATAAATAAAAATAAGATCCTATAATAAACAAATGAACAAAAATACGTTGCTATTCCATCCATTTAACTTTATTCAAAAACGGGATCGACTATACTTCAAGTCTACTCGACTAGTTTAGGATTAAAAAAAATTACATAATAATATTCAAACCCAATTACTAAATGCTAAATTCTCAAATATCATATACACTAATCATAACAAAATAAAATAAAAACGATTTTTTTTTATATTTCATTTTGTTTACACAACAAAATATTACAATTTTTTACACGACGCATGTGCATACAAGGACAAAACGCTACAATATTTGTCTAACCGACATCAGTCTGACTCTCAGTCCAATGACAAACACAGTATAATCTGTTCTATCCTATCTGATCAAAACGTCAAATCCGCATTTGTTTCATCCACAAGGACCATTTAAGTGCCTCCAAAACCATATCATTCTTCTGCAAAGCAATAACCAAATTCGTATACGTAATCCGATCCGGTTCCACTCCGTTTTTTCTCATTTCCTTAACCAAATCCACCGCCTCTTCCACCATTCCCGCAATCCCATACGCCTTAATTAAAGAATTATAACCACACAAATCCAAATCCCTCCCACACTCCTTCAACTCCATCAACACATCACCAACTTCATCAATCCACCCCTTTTCACCATAAATATTAATCATAATATTATACGTATAACAATCCGACCCACAATTCGATTCCTTCATCCTCAACAACACATTTTTAAACTTCTCCATTTCGCCCGCTTTTCCATACGCATCCAACATACAATTATACGCTTCAAGAGACACAGAAAAGCCATTGAACTTCATTCTCCTAGCAACCGAAGCCATGTTTCTCAAATCTTGACTTTTTCCATATGCGGAAACGATTGTGTTGTAAGAAATTACATCTACTCTCCCTTGTTTTTTAGCCATCCAAAACACTTGTCTCACTTTTTTAAAAAGACCCGATTTTCCATAAACATCAAGAATTACGTTAAATGTTGTGGTGTTTGGTGAAAACCCGTTATGAATCATTTCATTGAAAAGCCTTGAAAGTTCATCGATTGGTAAAGCACGTGCACAACAATTTATGACACAATTATACATTTCTTGATCCCAAATAACTCCAAGTTTCAAGATTTTGTAGTATAAATCGGCTAACTTGTTTACCATTCCTAATCTTTGATAAATTCGAAGCATATCACGGATCAAATATACATCCGGGATAATCTTAATCTCCTTTTGTTTTTCGATTTCTTCAAGAACTAAACACGCGTTGTTTAAAGATCCGGATTTGATGTACATTCTTACTACTATACTAAATGCTATCAAATCCAAAGGAATCCCTTTTGATTTTAGTTTCATGTAAAGGGCTTCTGCTTCTTGAAACCGATTCAAACGCGTGTAAATATCAATCATACTACAAGTGATATGCAAGTTTGGTTTTTCGGGTTTTGGCATAGATTCGTGAATCTTGATGGAATTTTCAAGATAACCCAACTCCTTACATGTACATATAAGTAAATGATATAAACTATCCTCAAATACTTTATCTTTCCACTTTTTAATCCCTAGAATTTCAATCGCATCATCTACTAAACAATGTTTCACATATGCCATAACAAGAATCGAACATGAAGTTTGATTGTTCAAAACATGATTGTAAAGCAAATGCATACCTTTTATGATAGATGCCACTTTATCGAATCTTTCTGCTTTCTCATATGCTTGTAGAAGAATCCCGAGAATAGAAGAGAATTGGCATCCGATTTTGTTCATATCGTTTATGGTTCTCATAGCACCTGATTCATCTCCATTTTTGGCTTGAAGATTAATCATTGTGTAAAGATTCGATGAATTTGGCTTGAAATTTAAGGTAACCATTTCATTGTAATACTTTTCTGCTTCTTTGAAATTTTGTAATCGACCCCAACCTTCAACCATGGTTCTGTAAGTGGTTTCATCGGGTTTCAAACCTGATGAAATTAGGTCATGAAAGATTCTTTGAGCAGATTCCATGTTTGAGATTTTTCCATATCCTGTTATGAGTGTATTGTAAGCAACAATATGAGGAGAAAATCCAGATGAATGCATTGAAGCCAATACTTTTTCTGCTTCATTTAACTTTCCTTGTTGGCTATAAGCATTAAGCAACACCAACCAGTTTTCTTGATTCAAAACCACTTTATCTTCCTTCAAAAACTCGATAATCTCTTCTGCTTTTTCATATAATCCAACACGTGTATACATAGTAATCATGGATGAATAAGCACTATGACATACAATCTTGAAGTTTCTCATTTGTGAGAAAGCAAACTCTGCATCATCAAGAAGAGCACCCTTTTGGTAAAGATTCATCATCATGCCAAAAGTGGCAACATTGGGGAGAACTTTTTTATCTAACATCATTTGGAACCAGTTTCTGCCAGCTGTCACAAGTCCACGTTTATGACACGCGAAAATGAGAGTGTTGAAGATTTGGAAACTGAGTTCACAAGATGACTCTGACTCGGTCTGCATTTCTTGAATCAACCTTTCTGCTTCCTCCCAATCTTGTCTCCTACCCAATACCCTTAAAGCTAACTTATACGCATTCATGTTGTGTTTCAGCTTTCCATTGATTCTCATCCATTTGAAGAATCTTAAAGCTTCATCATCACGACCACTTCTCTCAAGCTTCTCCAAGATAGAGTTGCAATGAGCTGAACTTGATTCAACTCCATTGGAACTTAGCTTCTCATAGAACGCATTATCATTCTCGAATAACACATCTGCATTACCAATTTCACGTTCGGTTTCACTTTCGGTTCTGGAATTATGCATCACCTTCGAGTTTTTAGCGACATTTTTCATGCCATCCAATCGCTTCCATATACTCCGCTTCCCCTTCCTGAACTCTCCATATAATTTAGGGCTTCGTGAAGCTACATTCTCATCACTCAAATCCAATGGTCTTTCAACATTATTCGATTGTAAAACATCAGAAAATTCCGTATCTAATTTAGAAACCCTAACTTGCTTTAACTTACCAAAGGAGTAGTTAGTTACACTAGTAAAGCCAAAGATTAAACTTCGATCTGAGAACTGCAAAACGGAGTTAAGTTTCTTCGAATCATAAGTATCTAAATGAACACAGCATTTTATTGAAGCCATTAAGAAGCAACTGCGAATTTCGGTAATTCAATTCGGAGTCATTTCTTACCTCATGCAAATCAATAGAATTCGAATTACAAGCTTTAAGCAATGGCGCGATTGAAGTGTAAGCTGAAACTCCAAGAAATTGTGAAGATAGTGAGGGAGTATTGGTTGAGAAATTGATCGCGCCGGAGAGATAATGAATGAAAAATAACCGCAAGTTCTTGTTTGGTTGAGGAACCATCAAAAAGATCAGGATGTTTTCTATAAAAAAAAATGTCTTTCATTAACATATATGGAATATTAATGCAAAATAATTAAATGACCACTTTTTATAATAAACCATTCTTTATTAAAATAAAAAAATAATTATAAATAAAATAAAATAAAGATATTTTAGGTTATTTTACGGTTTAATCAATATTTATTTTTTGAATAGAAAAGTTTCGATTATCTAATTTTATTCAACAATTTGTCATTTTCTATTGAAAAAAAATATAATTGTTTCGTTAATTTGTGCAAAATATAAAATAATCGGGAGTTTTATATTTAAAAAATAAAAGTTTGATTTAAACCGTAAACTGTTCAAATTATTGAGACTTTATCAATGATTTCCCAAAAAAAAATCAAAAAACAACAAAACTAATTTAATTTCAAACTAGATTATAAGTTTCAGACATCTTTTTATATAAGGCATGTCAGAAAAAAAATCCTGACAAAATTTGAAATTCCAAATAAATTATGAGATTCAAACATTTACTTTTAACAAAAAAAAACATATCCTAAATTTCGAATAACATTGATATGTTTGAGCAAAAATAAATATTTCCCTCCCAATATTCTTCCACAAAATTGTGATGCATGAATCCTTCATAGATATTTTCTCATATTCCTTTTAGTCAGTCGGCGACAAGTATGATGTATAACCTTCTACAAGTCTTTACGATAAAATACAAAATGCAACCAAGTTTGCATACTATTCAAGAGGAACTTATTAAGGTATTACACGAAACGAACCCAAATGAGAAAATAAATAAATAAATAACAACTGAATTAAGAATGCCAACCAACCTACATATAAGAGAATTAAGAGATTTTGCAAAATAATATGTATTTAGTAAATTAAAAACTTCTTTTGGGAAATATTTTGATTCATTTACATCAATGATGTTTAGCCCATTAATTAATTTGCCCTATTTTGGTGTATTTGTGTACATGCTTTTAATTGGTAATTATTTGTGTACATTTTAAGTGCTTTTACTTGGTAATTATGAATCCTTGAGTTTAGCATACATATCCCTCACTAGATACTCTAGTCTTATATGCTAGGAAAGGGAGAATATTGGGAGAGAAATATTTATGTATGCATCTCCTCTTTGTTGAGTCATAATACAAATACATCCATTAAAATCTTCAAATTTTGTAAAAAACAAAAAATTTCGCAAAAGGCTTTGTAAAATCTAAAATCAATGTTTTAAAAACCAGTTTGAACCAGTCGGTCAAATCGGTTGGACCGAGAACCGGATAAGAGAACAGTTCAACTAGCACTGATTTTATGTCTATTTTTGAACCGGAATGAACCAGACAGTTTTTTACAAAAATTCGGTTAAACCGATTAATGCGTTTTTGTTTTTTAAGGGAACGATGGTTCATTCCACTAGTCAAAAACTCAGTATTATATTTTATTTTCTTTTTGATGTATGTGGATTGATGTAAAACTTATGATTATGTGTTTTTTAATGTATTTAGATTGATCTACAACTTGTATTTATGTGAATTTTTAATGTTTAAACTTAGTGGATGAAAATTATAGAAACTGGTTGAACCGACGGTCGAATTGGAACCGGTCACCATACCGGTTCAACTAAAAAACCGATTTTTAAAATACCTAAAATTACCCTATATTACAAAAAAAAATGATAAAGATTCGCTCAGTTAGTTAGAAAGTAATTATGTAAAGCCATATACATATCTAATTTTAGCGAAATGAACAACAAATGCAATGTATTTTACTGAAAATTATTTATAAAGCAATCTTACATACTTAATTTTATAAAATGAGTAGTTAAAAAATGTAAATTGTATCATTAGAATGGTCTGCATCAATCTGCCCATGACCCACATTGGAGGTAGTAGTATTTTGGGTGTACCAAAGTTTAAACCTTCGACCTTCGGTATGAGATTCTGCACCTCAACCACTAGACTCCCATTGCAGGAGCCAATAACATGAACAGTTATTGGGCGTGTTTGGCATGGAACGTTTGTGAACAAAACGTTCTGTTTTGAACAAAAAGCCTCATTTGGCACTACTTTTAGTGTTTAATTTAAATAAAATGTTTTAAATCTAAAAGTTATCTCGCGTAGTGTTTAACAAAACGCTACCAACTATCAATTACCTGTTATCCGCTACCGGTTGGTTTAGTTTTGTATCCGCTACCAGTTAGTTTAGTTTTGCTGAACATGCTAATAGTATTATCTTAGGTTTTAAATATAGACATTTGTAAAAGACACCTAATTTATTGGTCAATTTGTTGGATTTTTTTTTTCAATTTGGTGGTTAACCCTATTTTTTAGTTGTATACTTTTATAATAAAAAAATATGTCAATGCAACCTCAAAATTTAATTTCTTTTGTCACATCAACAATTTATATTGATGCAGCATCATCAAAAATATACTTTTCAAATTCAACATTGATGTAATTCGTCCATAATGTTTTAAAAGGTGCTATTATCTCAAACTAAAAAGATATACACTATACACATTTAGTTTATTGGTTCATTTCATGATGCTTCAACTCGATATGGGTTAAAAAGATATATACTATACATAACATCCTACTCAATTCTTCCTATTACAACATTATACTTCAAAAGTCAAAACTCCTCCCCAATTATAGCAGTCATCCAAATACAAAACAATTTTTACTGGTACATTTTTCAAGTAAAAAGCCCTCATAAGAAGAAATTTGGAAGAAAAATGCTATAAATGATTTATACTTTTTTACAACACAATGTCTTAATAAGAAAACTTGAAAGTACATTATTGCTATATCTTACAAAATAAACCAAACTGTTAACATTTTCCCATGTCTGCATTTAACTTTTATCCAATTCAAATATATGTTCATACATAATACATGATCAAAAATCCCATTGTCACCATAAAAATGTTCTTTACACTCTTAGCCCTTGTTTTTTTTTTTTCTCCCTCATTAAATGTTGTCTGGATTAAGTAAAAAAGAAAACACTCATATATAGCTCACCAGATTAACCTCATTAAGTCAAAAAAAAAAAAGGAATTTATATTATTAAGTTGAAAATATTAGATCCAAATGCTTCCGAAGGCTTCTTCAAGGGCTCGTTTTCTGCTTAATTCTATGCTCCACCCTCCCGCCTTTCCACCTCGTTCGGCTTTTAATCTCATCATCTCTTCATCATCCATATGATACGCGTGTAGGTCATCCCCGGACCCCACTGGGAGTGGTTGTGTGGGCCGCGGTTGTGGGATTGTCCCGCCAGCAACCGCCGGGACATAATGCCCGTCTGAAGTCGACACCCCGAATTGGGAGCTCGCGCCTGTGGTCTATCTCAAACAACAAAAAAAAAATCCATGATGTTAAAATAATAAAAAGTTTAATATTTAAAAAATAAGGAAACCTAAAGTTTAAAACATGACTGACTAGACTGGACAAAACTGATTGTACTGCGTTTGGATTGGATTTATGGATTTTGTTGGATTTAGGCTGTGTTTGACGCGCCAAAGCTAGCTTATTTTTTGAGTTTTTTTAAGTTGTCATGTTTGGCAAGCCAAAATGTAGCTTATAAGCTAGCTTTTTACAAAGCTACTTAGGCTATGTTTGGCGTACTAGCTGAAAAGCTAGCTGTTAGCTGAAAAACTAGCTGATAAAACATGTCTTTTGACTGAAAAGCTCGTTGAAAAATATAAAATGATATAAAAAGACATTTAAAAGAATGTGTTTCTATAATTAATTAAGGGGTGTATTTGGAAAATTTTAAAAAAACTCCTAAAAAAGCTAGTCTAAGTAGTTTTTTTAAAAAAGCTAACTTATAAGCTACTTTTTGGCTTGCCAAACATGACAACTTAAAAAAACTCGAAAAATAAGCTAGCTGTGGCGTACCAAACACAGCCTTAGACCAACTTTTTAAGAGCTTTTTTAAAAATTTCCAAATATACCCCTTAATTAATTACAGAAACACATTCTTTTAAATGTCATTTTATAGTTTTTAGCTAGCTTTTCATCCATTTTACCAAACGACATTTTTAATCAACTAGTTTTTCGGCTATCAGCTAGCTTTTTATTTAACAGCTAGCTTTTCAGCTATCTGCTAACTTTTTAGCTAACAACTATCTTTTCAGCTGGTACGCCAAACATAGCCTTAGTTAAATAGTAAAGTAAATGGTTTATAACTTGGTGATACAAATGGTAGAAATGAAGTTATCTTATGTATCATTTCATGATCGGATGTGTAATGAAATTATGCTTTTAGTGTAAAACTTGAAATATGGATTTAAAACTAAATTAGTGATTCCACCTTCCTGAAATATCTTCTAATTATCATATCAAAAGCAGAAACATGAAAACTCACCATATCAACATCAGTCTGTGCAGGTTGTCCTTTGCTTGCTGCTAATGCTGCTGCATATTCTTCAGCCTAAATGATCAATGAAAACTAGTTACTGCAATGTGAGATGAAAAAGATCACTGGTTTCTAGCATTCATCATTTGACAAATGACAAACCTTACGAGCTTGAGCATTCATTATTTGTTCTGCATTTTCCTTTTGGTAGTATGCAATCTTTGCTTCAATAACAGGAACATCTATTCCTTCAACCAAGTTTACAACTGAAAAGAACAAGATGCAGATGAAAATGGATTTCTAGAATATCTGTTGTATAAGTCTATAAGAGAACTAGAGAAGAGCTTACTCATGTCCTCAACTTCCTCTAAGTAGTCATTATATTCTCTTAATGATGGAAAATCCTCCACCCTTTTATTAAATCTGTGAAATCATAAGAATATGATATTATACAAAACATGAATCACAAATTGCATTGTTTTATAGCAACATTACCATTATATCGAGAAATTAGTTCACTAAAGATGAAAACATCCATCAAATTCTGAGAACATTGTTTGTTGTTACTTTCATCTATCTTATCCCCAAATATATAGGACAGAAGAGGACAATAAGAACAAAAAGAACAATCATAAGAAGCTTTATGTTTGGAATTCACACCTAGAATTTCCCAAATGCAAAATTGGATACGGATTTCATTTTAAATTTAACACAAAAATTACAATTTTGGCAGTGATTACTCTAAATTCAATACAGTTACCAATTTCCTCTGGCAAACTTAGAATCCATTAGAGTTGAAAATTAACCTAATTGATATTCAGAGTTCAAAGCGTATATCCGATAAAACAAATTCAATCAAAGAAAATAAGCTCAAACGATATAGAGTACTGTGTACGCCTAAAAACTCGAGCTGATAACTTCTCCAGCTTGAATTCCTTAGCTCACGAGCTAATTTTCACGTACTAAGTCCAAATTTCCTCATTCTTACTCAAATTATACACATGTTACGTCATCAATCAAACTGCAAGGCTCATAATTGAATCAATAGGATAATCTAGACAAACAAAGAGAAGAGGAAGAGATCTGTAAAAGTTACATGTTGCCGATACGTTTTCGGATGGTCATCTCCTTAGCGAAGGAGTTACCGGAAGGTACCACCATGTTTTCTGATTATGATTCTTTGCACCTTTCCGACGGGATGCGGCGGAGGAGGGTGGAGGCTGAAGTGGAAAGGCGGAGGGCAATTTACTAGGAGAAGAACCCCTGCACCAACGACGACGAGTAATGCTTAACAGCGTTCCACCAAAATACAAAAGATGTTAATAGTGAGATGGAGATTTAAGATTTTAGCTGTCCCTCGCACGTTTAATTTTATCCCCCATATACCAAATTTGGTTTCCAACTAAAATCGACTAGACAACCGAAAAAATAAAGATGTCCAATATCTTATTTTATTTCATACATGGGCAATGTTTGACGAAATTAGCCGTGTGGTTAGCGGATAGCATGTAGCGGCATCTGATAGTAGAAGCTGTAGTTTTTATTTATTATATGAGTATTTGAAAAAAGTAGCTGCAAGCTTTTGAAATATATAAAATTACATAAAAGGACAATTGATTAAAAATAAATAAATATATAAATATATTTTTAAGGGTGGAAATTGATTTCAAAAGCTCAGTAGCGTTTTGTTAAATGCTACATGAAGTAGTTTTTAGATTTGGAGCGTTTTGTTTAAACTAAAAGTTAAACGCTCGTACTGTCAAACGAAGTTTTTTGTTTAAACTAGAACGTTTTGTCAAAAGCTAAAAGTAGAAGCTCTCAAACGTTTCCAAAAGCTTTGTGCCAAACATGCCCATGATTGAAATGTTTCACACACAAAATATAATACATTTAGATTATCATACAAATTAATAAAACATATATATATATATATATATATATATATATATATATATATATATATATATATATATATATATATATATATATATATATATATAATATATATATATAGGGAGTGGTTCAAATAAGAACCATAAAAGATTAAGAACCCTAAGACCCCCCCCCCCCCCCCCCCAAATTAGTTAGTAAATATTTACATGATATTCTTATTAAACATGTGAAAATCTTTTTTTTTTCTCTTTTTGATACAAAAAGGGCAAAATTGTAATTTTTGCAATATAATATTTTCATTCTTATATGCTCTCATATTTGAACACAAAACTTATATAAATTACAAGTTTATACAGTCCGTTTATAGTTTAATTCACAACTTAATACAAACCATTTTACAATAATTCACAAGCTCAAAGAAATCAAAAATTCAAACTCTACTACTACCATCACCATACGCTGCAGCCAACCACCTGTAGCAGCATCACAACCATCATTTTCTTCTAAATAAGATATGTAAATAAAGTCATGCATTAATAACTTAAATACTACATTCACAGTCTAATAAAACCATTTATTTCACTCATTTTGAATTTAATGCAAAACTATTATTAAAACTAATGTATTCTTACATATTTATACAACACAAAAAATAAATATATTCAGAAGAAAATTAACAAAAAAAGTTATACATAAATCATTCATATTATAAATTGTGAATTTAATATATTAAGCCGTGAATAAAATTTACATTTTTTCAAAAGCAACCAAAAAAATTATAAAATAATCACAGCTTAATGTAAATTCATTCACAGCTTAATACAATCAATTCATAATTTAATACATAAAATTCACAGCTTAATATAGTCAATTCATAGTCTAAAAAAGAAAATTCACAGTTTAATGCAGTCAATTTACACTTTAAAACACAAAAATCACAGTTTAGTACACAAAATTCAAAGTTTAATACACAAAAAGTATGCATCCACAACCATATTTTCAACTTAACACTCTTTATATAGTCAATTCAAAGTTTATACACAAAATTCATAGCTTAATACAAGTAACTTCATACTTTCATACGCATAATTCACAACTTAATCAAGTCAATTTACAGTTCAAACAGAAAATTCACAGCTTAATGCAGTCAATTCGTAGTTTAAAAAGAAATTTTAAAGTTTAATGCATCAATTCACAGTTTAAAACACAAAATCACAGCTTAGTACACTAAATTCACATTTTAATACACAAAAAGTAGTATTCACATCCATATTATCAACTTAAAACACTTATTACAATTAATACACAATTTAATATAGAAAATTCACAAGCTAGTATAATAAATTCAAAGTTTAATTCAATAAAAGTTATACATTCACAACTTAATAGGAGTTAAAACTAAGATTAACAAAATTATACGACAAATGAGAGATTAAAACATCAAATTCACACTTTAACAGAAAAAAACAAACAAAAAAATAGTTTAGGACTCTCTTTCATAATATTCAGTACTTAAAACCATATCATTTCACTCATTCACAGTTAAAACGAACTTTAACATAACTGAACAATAGTTGAAAGATTAAAAATCATAATTCACAGCTTATAAAAATAAATTCATATTATTCGAGAAAACATTAACATAATAACACATCTTCTCAGTTTTAATTCACAATATAACAACCATCAAACATAAACTATGAATAACAATTTGATGCATATGCTATAACAAATAAGAAAAAAAAAAGCATGGATCCACAACTTAACAACAGAAAAAACTATGATTAACAAAAATAAACAATAAATGAGATATTAAAACATTAAATTCACAGCTTAACAGAAGGAAAAAAAATAAAAATAAAAAATCGACATACCTGATGTGTTTCACTGGAGGTCAGAGAGAAAGATATGGAGAAGGTGACGGTGTTGGAACATATCTAAGGTGGTGGAACTACCATCAGCTACCGGTACCACTATTATAGCTTCATATATACGCATGAAATAGCACAACATAAACCAGATCTAGAAAAATCGAACCATACACACCAGATCTGACTAGATCTGAACATGATGTTGACAGTAGAAGGTTGTGGTGTGACATCAGTGGTGGTAGCGATGGTGGAAACGAAGTTGACGGTGGTATCAGCTCTGACCAAATCGCATCAGAACTAAAGATGTTTTGCGTTTTAAAGAGGGAAAGTGAAGCTGAAACAATTTCGTGGCTCCAGATCTTAGACCAGGTTGCGATCGACGGTGGATATGGAAGTATTTTCATCAGATCTTGTCAGATACGTGTTTCCGTTGGCTGTGACAGTGATGAACGAAGGTCGTGGTTATCACCGCTCGCCGGAGCTCGTAAATCTGGAGGAGAAAATGGTAGATCTAAAGACGAAAGTCGTAGATCTGGATACGAAAATCGTAGATCTGAAGATGAAAGTCGTAGATCTGAAAATGAAAATCATAGATCTGAAAACTAAAGTCGTAGATCTGAAGCTGAAAATTGTAGATCTTAAGCTAAAAATGTAGATATGAAGCTGAAATTGTAGATCTGGAGCCAACTGGAGCTTGTGGATCTGATGGCGGTGGTTCGTCGGTGGTCGGAGGCGGCGACGGTACGTCGGCGGTAGGAGGCGGCGACAGCAGGGGGTGGTGGCTGGTGGCAACTGATGGCAATGTTTATGTGTTCTTCAAGTTTGAGATGAGAGAGAAGATAGAGTTTGTGTAGTGTGTAAATCTGATATAATAAAAGATGAAAGTGTTGGGAGAGTTTGAGAGGGTTTGGGAAAGTTTTCTTGCAAAATAAGTTTGAAAGAATAGACCAAAATAAGTGGTTCCTAAGGTTCTTAATCTTTTTTGGTTCTCATTTGAACCTTTATATATATATATATATATATATATATTGAAGCCTTTCTAAAAAAAAGTAAAGATGTTCGAAAGTCGGTTTTGATGGCCAAAATCGTATTTTGGGGAGTGTTTGGTTAAGCTTATTTAAGGAGCTTATTAGCTTATTAACGATTCCGCACTGCTATAAACTAAAAAAAATATTTGGATATAAATAATTTATTACGGTGGAAAACAGTTGATAAGCTATTTTTTCATAAGTTACTACACTCTAACTTATTAGCTTATTAGTCAATAAAATAATAAGTTATAAGCTAATAAGCAATAAGTTTTTTAGCCAAACACTCCCTTATGTGACCAAAATATGAATGCAACAAAAGTAACTGACTAGGTGACTACGGTCCAAAAATACGGGGTCTGTAAATAACTATGTAAAACTAAGTTTGTTAGATTACTTGAAAATCTACTTGTCAGTTGAAAATTAATTAATTGCTAAAAAACTAACTATTAACCGATAAATCAACTCATAAAAATAAGACAAAACTGCAAATTTGGTCCTTGTGGTTTGCAAAAATCTTTGGATGGGGTCCAAAAAGTTTTCAGCTTGTACATAAGGTCCGAAATCAAGGTTTTTCTGCATTTTTGGTCCAAAAAATTTGAAATTACCGATTTACCCTTTTAATTTCAGTTTTGTATTTTCTTTTCTTATTTATTTTAATACTTTATGAAATAAAAATAAAAAACAAAAAAGATAGACCCCCACTCCACCCCTACCGGTACCCTCTCTCTCTTTTTTTTTTCTCTCTCTCTCTCTCTCATCCCAAGACCAAAAAATCCAACTACTCCATCATCTTCTTCCCACAGGTCCATCATTTTCTCACCATCTTCTCTCCATGGACACACCACCTGCAACCTCATATTTGTTACAGTTCACCGATAAGCAAACACCCTTTACATCACAGTTCCCACCGTCGACCACCGCAATCATAAGCACGACCTGCAAATCAGAAAGAAAACACACACAAGTTCATTTTTCTTCAACCAGGTTTACACCATTTTTGTCTTTCTCGAGTGTGTGTGTGTGTTTTCAGTTCTTCAATGTGTGTATTGAACCCATATGTCAAAACTTCGATTATTTATGGAAATATGCTTCGATTTATGTTGTTCATCAACCCTTTCTTCTTAAGAGCCCTAATTTCTTTGATGGTGGTTGTCCGATGATAAACAACATATTTGGAATCCCTTATGCAGGTCTGTGTTGAACCAAAGGTTAGGTTTCTGATTCAAATAAGTAGCAATGATAATGGCAGCACTGATGGAGCAAAAGAAAACTCTGACAACTGGAACTCAAAAACGGTGCGTGTAGGTGAGAAACAAGAAGAAGAAGAAGAAGAAGAAGAAGAAGAAGAAGAAGAAGAAAAAGAAGAAGGGATGGGGGAATTAGTGTGTATTCCTCATATTCTAGTTCATCATCTCATCATCAACTCATCAGTCGGGGGAATTTGGTGTTCTTGATGATTGTGTTTAATTGGACTTTTTTCACAACCTCAAAACAAAACCCAGATGGAACACAACTCTCTCTTTTCTCACATCTATGGGTTTTTTAATAGGAGCTTTTGGACAGAAACGATGGGTAATCTGGAATGTATGTGTATGTGTTTGGTTTATGTTGATTTGTTTTTATTTTCAGGCAAGAAAGAAGCACACAAGTCCAACCATGGAGTTTTATTTTAAGAGAGAGAGAGAGAGAGAGAGAGAGAGAGAGAGAGAGATAGATAGAGAGAGAGAGAGAAGGGGAGGGCTCCGGTAGGGTGGGTATATATATATATATATATATATATATATATATATATGGGGTGAGCCAACTTAATTCCTTTTTTTGCATTAATATTTTTTAAAATAAAAATATAAAAAATACAAAAAAGAAATTTAAAGGGCCAAACAGTCAATTCAAGTGCTCCATGGACCAAAACTACAAAAATTTCTTAAGTTTAGGACCAAAAACCCAGAAAAACCTTAACTTTTGATATTCTGTGCAAGCTGGAAACTTTTTGGATCTCATCCAAAGGTTTTTGCAAACCACAAGGACCAAATTTGCAGTTTTGTCTAAAAATAAAGCTTGGTAAAAAATAGTTAAGAATTCCAATTTGGAATAACCTGATTCCATGATTCATGTAAAGGTTAATATTTTTCATTGGTGATCGATGTTTCTTCGTATTTATGCCCTATTTGTAACGATCAGGTAGAATGGGTGGATCACGTTCGTTGATTGTGATATGGCTAAAGATGTTCCGATAAAGATAGGTAAATAGTGTGATTTAGATTTTGGGGTGATCTCTTGTGTTGGTAATTATAAAGGTTGGCTCGATTCTCTTTATCTCTTAGTTGTGAAAAAGTTGATAACTAAATGACATTGTGGTTACTACTTGTTGGAACTTGTATAAGTTTCGGAATACTTGCATTTTTATCGTATTTGGCCACGTAAAGATAGACTTCTTGATAATATTATTGCTTTTTTTATTGTTGGATGGTGCATAGAAAACATAAATTCTATGTTGATAGGAATTTGTAGCTGGAAAACCCTTTTTTGAACTTTTTGATGTAATGTTCTTGTTGGTGCTCTCGTTAGTCCCTTTATAATGTGATTTTTTTAATGAAATCCAACCTTTCTAGAAAAATGTAGTTGAGAACTATAAAACAAGATATAGAAAAATGATTAAGTATAATACAATTATATAAAATATATTTTTAAAGTAAAATAAGGAATAAATAATAGTTTCTGATTATTTATGTTTAAAACATTACAATATTCTTTTTTCTATATGATAAAAATTTGATTTACATATATCATATATCAAAATCAGTAAAAGTTCATTTGAGACCATGAGTTTTTTTTATGAGACATGAAGACGCAATCCTAACCATTTATTTGGAGATAAAAAAAAAAACAATAAAATTTTCTAAAATGCAAAATAAAAGGAAAATTCTGAAATTTCTTTTTTTTTTCAAAAAAAATATTATCTCGTCATTAATTTTATACAAAAACTTTTAAAAAAATATAAAAAAAATAAAAAATTTACCTTTTTTTTCTTAAATATACATATAATATTCTAATATAATATTACACTATAAATATTCAAATAAAATTGTTAGAATGTTAGAATATTCTAATAGTCTACTAAATTTATTAGATTTGTTAAAATATTTTAATATTCTACTACAATTGTTATAATATTCTATTATTTTACTAAAATTAACGATTGTATTTTAATATTCTAATAGAATATTTGAGTATTCTAACAAATTTATTTTAATATTTATCGCGTAATATTCTATTAGAATATTTCACGTATATTTAAAAAAAAAAATTAATAAATTAAATGACATAAATAATATTAAAAAAAATCAAATTTTTTCATTTACTTTGCATTTGAGAAATATATATTTTTTGATATGCAAAATGAATAGCTAGGATTGCGTCCATATGTCTCACGGTCTCAAATGAACCTAACTCTATCAAAATCTAATATAATAAAATACACGATAAAGTTAATTATCACCAATTGCAGTTGGTTCCGCAATAAATGGTTATTTAAAATACAGCGTAAATAATAAAATTGTTAAGAACAAAGTTTAATACAATTTAATGCACGTACTTTTATATATGGCTAAAAATAACCATTATCATATAGACTTGTTTCTTATATGGGTTAACCATATATATGTTATTTATAAAGAGTGTCTTTGCATGTTTTGTTGTTTAAACTACTTTTATACTTATCAATTTATTTAACTAAATAAGGCATTTGACTTACAATACACTTGGTCCAAATATATGTGAGGTCTGGAAGCAAAAAAAAATATTAGATCACCGGTTACACATCGCTTATCTACATGGTTTTCATATATTTGCAACAAACTTTATAAAAATGTAACTTTATGCAACCAAGTAGTCAAGATCGCGATGAACATTAGCATTAAAAGCTCCAAATACCTCATTAATGATTGTCACACGTAAGATGTCGTGAGAAAAAAACCTAAAGAAATCATTTCATAAGTACTGAATGAGTACAAAAAACAAAAATGGTTTATTTTGCAACACAAAAAAAATATTAAGGACTAAATGTATATAAAAATATTAAGGACTAAATGTGTACAAAATGAGACATATATTACCCTGTTAAGTCATTTTTACCGGCTAACCTAAAGTAGTCGGTCATAAGGACAGAAAGTGTACAATTTAACAAGTTGAAAGGATAAATGTGGACGAAAAAAAAAACTCAATGACTAAATGTGTATAAATCGAATAATATGTTACCCTTTTTAAGTCATTATCCCTTAAAATTATTATGACCGGTGTACTTGACAAATAAAACAACAAACATACTACAACATATATAAAAACTAATATAACAGTTTCTTATCAGAATTATGTTATATTTGTTTCTAGGTAAGGAAAGGGTGTTTATAGATGTTTTTTTAGACCAAAGTCGTATATTTTATTGTACATTTACATTACTTTAGAGGTGTTAAAGTTGGTCTTGTACAATACGATTTGAGAAATGACACTAAAAGAATTCATTCAATTATATTAACAATTTGTATCAATATTATGTTATTATTGTTTCTAAATAGGTAAACAGTTTTTGTTATCAATATTATGTTATTATTGTTTCTAAATAGGTAAACAACTTTTGTATATGTTTTCTTAAACAAAATTCATTATACACTTTAGTAACATTACTCTTTATTGTTTGAGTTATAATTAAACTGAATATCGTTTTGAATGGACTTAAACCCAAATTTTGGAGTATAAAAGCTAGCATCAAGTCCGAACACATTCATCTTTTAAATCAGATTTATTTATTTATTTAAGTTAACATG